GTGTGTGTGTGTGTGTGTGTGTGTGTGTGTGTGTGTGTGTGTGTGTGTCTGAATATGGGACTGGAATCAAGGGAACAGGGGAAGAAAACACCTCCTACTTTTTCTGGGACTGGATTTTTTAATGCCCTCAAGGCAGTGTTTTGATGAACCAAAAAGAAATGAGGAATAAACTAAAACCAAGTTGTCACCAAGAAAAATTGACAACATTGAGCAGGGAGGGTAAAAAGAAATGCTTCTCAGGTATTCTGACCTTGTTAATTATCAACAGAGCAGCTTCAAGTTGTCTTGGAGAATAGAGTTCTCATTCTCTATAAGAAGTATCTCAAATACCTAAACAACTATGGCCTTGGACGTGAGGCAAATCAAAGATGGATTTTCTTTCCAAATCCTCTGACAACCCTAGAGAAAATACATATAGACACAAGACAGGGAAATTCATACCAAAAAATGAAAAGAATATGAATTACTATGTTACTACTAAATGAAAATAAAATAAAACTACCTAAAATGAATACTATATATAGTGTTTGCTTAAATTTCATAATTTATGTTATTTTAATTTAAAAAGAGATGAGGTAGATCATATCACAAGATACATTAGGAAAGTCACTTTTACCCCAATTCTCATTTTCCTCTAAAAGATGCTCAACTTCCATCCCACTGGTTAAGAAAAAACAGTGGTGGAAGACTTATAGCATAGCATGTCTGCATTTCTTCACTTGGAAAATGGAAAGACTAGATTAGGTAATAGTAAAAATAATAACAGTTTATATTTACCAAGTCTTTATTCTGTTTCAGACAGACACTTGGTTAACTCATTTACAAGTATTATCTCATTAAACCTTGTAACAACCCTATGAAGCAGAAAATTTATTGGCCCATTTTATAAGCGAGATAACCGAGGCACTGAGAAGTTAAGGAACTTGTTCAAGATGATCTTTAAAATTTCCTTGTAGTTTCAGACATCACACACAGTGTTCCAGAGATGGCTTAAAATAATACAAATAATATAAAAGCATATTTTATTTCTTTATATCAGGTCATTTTTTTTCCTTAAAGAAAAAACTATGGCCTAAACAAAAATGGCTAAAATAGATCTCAATGATAAGGTTAATTAAATTTAGATACTTATCATCCTAAAAGAGGATAGGGTAAAAATGATAGATGAAATAAAGTTATTGTCAAAATAGTGAGTCAGACATCCAGAGAGAAAAAATCTCCAACTATAAAACACGGAGTGTTTGGTTTAAAAAGAAAGGAAAATATGAAACAATTTAAGTTGAGTTTCTCAAGTTTGAAAAATATATTTTTCCTGATGTATGTATTTCAATATTATTTTAGAATGTTAATCATGTTATGTTAATAGTAAGTTATGATGCTCCATTTAGAATACCATTTGAAAATGTTCAACTCTATGCGTAAGCTTTATTATCTCTTTTCAAATGCAGCACACTTGTATCTGGAAATACAGTCTTTCCCAATAAGTAAAAATGAATAGGGAAATGGTCAGTGAAGCAATTTTTATTTTTATACTGTATAATGAATAGCTTTTCATACTGAAAGAAAATGATACAAATTCAACAAAGCTTATACATTGATAGTGAAGCATTCTTCACAGTTTCACTGCAATATATCCTTTAAGTGGATTTGCCTAAAGAACCAAACTGTATTTTGCATCTAAAAACTGTAGCAAAAAGGATTTTTTAACTAAAATTATAATCATAATTAAGGATGAAAATTATTATCATTATAGGAAGGCAATAGTCATTAAATAAATTAAAAGCATCTTTACACTTTTTCCATATACATATATAATATATATATTTAAAATTGCCATTGACTGTACAAGTATTAAATTCTCAACGAAAACATTTACAGAAACTAGTGTGGAAAGCTGAAGAGAAGGACTGGTTTTTAGAAAATAAGGATTATTTTATCACTTATAAACTACATTAAAAAACAACTCGGGGGCAAAAAAGATCTATACAGAAAAGTCAGACATATCCAAGATTTCTTATTTAATCTCTTCTTTAATTTTACACATCAGGTGTGCATAGCTATTTCTTAACCCAACTTTGATTCAGTAAGAAGTCAATGCCCAGACATTAGTTACTTGTTAGCACAGAGAAAAGTGAAAGCCGAAAGACTAACTGAATAATGTAATTATATAATCATTTTTAATAAATCATACTGTTAACAGTGTTACATTTGATTGCTTATGAAAATATTAGATGGGCAATAAGAGTTCTAATTAAAAATATTAAAGTAAAAAATCTTAACATATAAATGATCATTAGTTAATATATAGCAAAGGGAATGTAAAAATTTATCTGGAATATTGTAGTCCTGAGATATGAGGAATCCAATCTTCCAGTTTAAATTCCACAACCCCAAATCCTGTAAATTGTATATCATTTACACAGGTTACAAGAGAGTATTTAAAAAATATTCTATTGACATTGGCAGTCCCCTAATTTGAATTAAAGAGAACAGTTAATTGAACAAAAAGAATTCTTTTTATTAAATACAAAAAGTAGCCAGGCGCATTGGTGGGCTCCTGCAGTCCCAGCTATTTGGAAGGCTGAGGCAGGATAATCGCTTGAACCCGGGAGGCAGAGGTTACAGTGAGCTAAGATCGTGCTACTGCACTCCAGCCTGGGCTATAAGAGCGACATTCCATATTAAAAAGTTTAAAAAAGAAGAATTATTTTTTTCAGTAACTGACTGTGTGTGTGTGTGTGTGTGTGTGTGTGTGTGTATGAGCTGCATCTGGAAATAGGGATAGAGGGATTACTTGTGGGGGAAGAGAGAGAGAGAGAGAGTATTATGCATGATTTAGCAAACTGCGTTTATAATTGTAGCTTCTCTTCTCATGAATCCCAATTTAATAATTTAATATCAGGAGATTTCTAAATGTCTATGTAGGAATTATACAGAAATGAGTACCTAACAAATTGTAAATCAGGCACTTACTCAATTTTCTAACTATTCTTAGTAAATTTGTATTGATTAAAATATTAATACATTTACTTCAGTCTCTACTACTGAAAGGTGATCTTGCTTTATCCTTTGGAAATAAAACTTTTCCAATTTATACCATAATACGTCCTCAATTCAGGAGGAATTTTATCTTTGTAAAATGATAGTTACAAAGCACCCAGAAAAACTACTAGTTAAAACCTATTTCCATTGCTAACAGATTACCAAGTTTTTTTCATTGTGCTGTAATTTTATATCAATTGCTACTTAAAATATAATCATTATTAGTTGGTACTTGTAAATTTTATTATAGAGTGGGTGTTTGGCCATTGTGGGGTGCTATCTGTAATAAGTACACATTGGTTCAAATTAAGAAAGGTAACAAACAGATACTTGGATATAAGAAGATAAGAAGTGATACTGGGAATTGCCAGAAGTTTTGGTTGATACATCTCTAGAAAAATACTAAATTTAGAATTTCACCAAATTTACCAATGCAAAAGTTTTCTTATTGAAAGACAGTATGATCAGAATTGTAGTCACACTCTGGCCCACTTCTATCATATACCTTTATTTTCAAATGTTTGAGAGCATGTATTAAAAAGTAATTATGTCCTCCATCTCACTTTGAATCTTTAATTTTATGCTACAGTAACAAAAAGTGAACTAGAAGAAAGTGTAGTAACTTAGGCACCAGAACTTCACTCATTTCTTTGAAAACTGATGTGTCTCACTCACAGAATTAACACACACCACACCAACATGTGTGTACCTGAAGGCATCAAAGAGCTTCTTTTCATGGGTTCTTTTAATGGGATTTTAATAAAACACCACTTAAACCAAAGTGAATGCCATACTAGTTTATGAACAGTGAAGTACAGGATGTTCTCGCTTTTAGTTTATTAAAAGAGGGACTTACAGTGTTTTTATATCTGCACTATCATTCCTTCAAGGAAAACTGATATGAAATAGCTGGAATTATAAACTTAACCCTTCCAGCTCATGGCCAGCCTATTCATTTTACCAGTGAGGACCCTAAAGACACACAGGAAACACAGTGCCTTTCACAAAATAGATGCTCAAAACATATTTATTAAATGACTGAACCACCATAATTAGCTACAAGCAGAGACAGAACAAACTCCATGTCTTCTGATACTGCATAGCCTCTGAAATGGCTGAGATGTTTCTAACTATCAGGTAAGACTGAACTGAAATGAGATTTAACCACAGATTAGCAGTAACAATGATCTGTGGCCTGAAAACATTTCCGACACACAAAACAAATACAGTGAGAAGAAGGTTTTTGAAATAATGTTCAAGAGTAAAAGTATAAGAGGACACATATATGTGACACATAAAAATGGAAAACAAAGATAAACAAATGTCTATATTTGATTCCCATACCTGGTGAATAGTGTTTAGTGAGCTTTGCTACAGTATAGATTTTAAGACTGAGCTAAAGTCCCGATCTATGTGAAAAAGTGCCTGACTTAGATGTGACTGAAGAAAGATACTCAATATATGATTATGGTTAAATTGATCATTTAAAAAGATCTTCAATATTCCATCAGTTTTTGGACCTTGACATCTATCAATAACTTCATAGGAAGTAAAGGCATATAAAGAGAATTAAAAAGTTAATGGCTTTAGGAAGGATTTTAAAATTCAAATTAGAATAAACAAAATCATTTGTGTAAAAGAAGTACAGAAGAGGAATTACGCTTGTGTTTTCTAAAACTGGGTTGCTGATTTCTTTTTCTGGTAGGAAATGAAATGAAAACAACTGTATTTGCAATTGATAGCTGGGTCAAGTGGTAACTCTCTGTATATGCTCTTGGATTATTCTATCATATTTGGCAACATTCTCATAACTGAATGGTGTTTGCCAAAACATAAAATTTAAAAATATAAAGAATTCTGTGTAAACTGAATTATAAAACCATATTAAGCAAACCATCCTACAGAGGGCACAGGCACCTGGCACATGTACACACATACATATACACTAACGCTCAGCACACACTTTCCATTACACTTACACAATGACATGTGGGGGAAAAACAAGGGTAAACAAAAGTCTCAACAACTTAAGATAAACATCAGAGTTGATTATTTAGCACTTTCTCAGGAATTTAAGGCAATAAGCCTAATTCGAAACATGAAATTACTCTCTATTTCCCTTTAGTCATTAAATGAGTAGAGATAAATGACAGGCTATTGCTGTTTTTCCATTCTATTTTCAAAGGCCATTACAAAAATAAACCAGTGTGTTCTCTAACAGTTCCAAAAACAGTCTGATAAGTTTATGTGTTTGATTACAAAAAGAGAAATAGATGTCCATATTTACTAAAATTTTGTTTTAAGTTACATTCAGAAGCAAATACAGTCCTTCTGCTTGGGGGAAATCTTCAATCTATTTGCTCATTCCCATCTGACTATAGAAATAATCTTTTGAAACAAAATGCATTGGCAGTGCAAAAAGAAGAAGAAGAAGAAGTCCATAAAAATAAACTAATGATTGAATTATGCATTCAAATGACTTATATGCCATTGCTTGCAGTTATCTGCAAGCGCAAGACTCTACTGTCATGTTAGGATATACTTTAAGCACTACATTCTTGTTTTCATCAAAGAATAAAATACTGAGTGAGGACATCTTTTCTGGTACACAGCAAGGCTCAGGAATCCCAGGAACGACCCCCACAGCTCTCACTATACTCTGGATTGTCGCATGATTTGATGGCTTCAAAGACTAGAAAAAGAAATGAAAGAAGAACACATGTGTTAGGTGGAACTGGTTTTCTACTCCTCAGTCCTCATTACATAAAATACTTATTTAATGAATCTGTTTCAACAATTTAATTAAACCTGTGGCATCATTATACATTCAGGCCAATCTCCTCTACCACACTACCAAAATGGTTATTATTTATTACGTGCCTGCTGCTTTCCAGGCATGTTATATATAGTGTCTCTAATTCTTACAACAAAACTAACATTTCTTACATTTTACAAAGTTACAAAAAGCATAAATGCCATATCTAGGGTCATATAGCTTGTAAGTGATAGAGGATTTATACCCAGTTATCTCAGCAAGAACCATTTAATTACAAACAATTTAGTCCCCAAACATGGAATTAATACATTCTACAGTGTTTTCAATAACAGGACTGCAACAAAAATGATTTGTTTTTGACCCTATATTAATCATAACCCTAACGAGCACTCTTCTTAACAGAGATACATTATTGCCACTGCTATAGTGATATTTAAGCATTGTTAAAATAAAACCAAGCAGGTCAGAGGGATATTTATTTATTTAAGAGTTGCCAAGATGAATTGTATGGTGACTATTCCGCTACGTAATTATTCAACTCTCTTTAGAAGCACAAACTGGGGGTAGCAAGACCACACCACTGGCCACTGGGGGTCACTGTTACTCCACTGGTTTAGAATTAAACATGGTGGTGGTGTGTTCTAAAGTGAGCCATGTACTCTGGGGATTACCTCTGGGCATTACCAGGGCCTAAAGTTATTCTATGGATGCCAGACCTTTCACCAAAGAAGTCTGGGTAAGAATCTCTTCCCTGAGAAAAAGCCAAATGGGACCACTAACATCCATGTGAAGCATGTGGTTTTATTTAGAGAACCCATACAGCTCTACTCTAGCTAAAAGTACTAAAGGGACAGTCATTTTTGCAAGCCCAGAATGTTAGGTATTGCCAGAGTGGTAAGAAGGACTTCCTAAGAGATGCCACACTGTGCAACACCAGTTTTTCCCGATGCCTCTTTTAGGCAGGTGAAAATAGTTTTGTTTTAAACACATCGAGAAACAGAAATTTGGTAACTTGCCAGAGACCAATTCAGTGGTAGGATTTCGACCAAAACTTTTACTTTTTAATTTTGGAACTTTGAGCCATGTTTTTCATGACTCAGAGGAACACCCGCCGCAGTGAATTGGTATTTTAATTTCAAACTCCTAAAACTCCCAGCATGGGAAACTGAAACAAGTTAAAAAGTTAGGGGTATATACAAACCAAGGGAGAAACAAATAATATAGAAAGCAGGCATACTGTTTTAAAAAAAAAAAGGCAAATCTCATTTATCTCATCCCATCTTTTAATTTCAGTGAAATAAAATCCATATATCAGACTTCAACTTTATTGTGATTAGGCATAAGGAACTAAGTAATTAGTCTTAATGATGGGCAACTGTTCTTACTCGTTTTTTCCTAGAGATTTTCAGTATATGCTGGTTAACTTTTAATTAATTAGCTTTAGTTAAGTGCAAAGCAAGTTATTCCTTCCTGAAGGAAAGAAAGCCCATACTGCTTTATTTTGCATATTGTATGCCCTGCATCAACAATACTATCTGTGTAACTTACACAAACGGTAATCAGTATTGTGCAACAAATATCAATAGCCATTGCTTGTTTTTGCTATTGGTAATTTCTAAAGAAAATTTTTGCAGCCATCCACTTTTCTTTACTGATTTGAAGTTATTTTTATGAGTCAATCATCCAAATAGCTTGTTTATTCTGTTTATGAAAGCAAAAGTGATTCTTAACCCGTATTTTCCAAAATTATTCTGTTACTTTAATGTTTAATGACTTCTGTAATATTTGAATTTTATACAAAGTGGATTAACTTAATTAGATGAGACCTTGGGTGGTAAATACTGCTGTGCATTCCTGTTCCTGTGTGCCTAGTATAATCCAAGCACAAAATAATTACTTGTTAAATGGATGAAATACTGAAAAGAAACAGCATATCCTCCATTTTATCCGTTTCTGTGGAAATAATTCCTATCAACAAAAATACAAGTTTCTGTGTAAATGACCTGGTGTAGATATGGAAAATATTCATGGGTGTTTCCTAGGAAAATTCCTGTCTTTTATTTTTAAGCTCCAACGAACAAATGATAGATTCAGAAACTATGAGTATATGAGTAGTCTTTAGTGGACTCACTGAAATTCAGATAGAAGCCCCTCATTCTGCATTGGTGTATCTTATCAGGAACCTAGCAGATTGCTAGGGAGTTTCCCCTGTTTTTGTTTGTTTGTTTGTTTGTTTGTTTCTCAATATGAAATCCTCTGATCAACCTGCCATTACCAGAAACAATTACATCATGCACAAAAACTCCATGCAGTAATTTGCTGGTGTAAAGCATATTGCCAGTACAGATCTTCATTTGTTTCTGAGTTCAGATCATGTTTCTCATGATTCCTTACTAAACAAGTTACAAAATTAAGAAATATATCAATTACTAATGCATATATGTACTACTTTCCTTACCAGTTGCTCTTTCTAATGAGGGTGAAAACGACTTCAACAGCAGTTAGGTAACTTTTTGCTTAGGTAACTCAGCACATCAAGATTTAGTGTTTTTAGGGTTCATTTTTATGACCAGAGATTAGAATTGGAAGACTCAAGAAATTGAGAGTATATCACTTTTAACTCATTAAATGTGAATTTCTTCTTTATATGGAATACTTGTTTCAAAGTGTTTAGATTCTTTGCTGCCTAATTCTATGCTTTTGCTATTTCTAGCTTTTGCACAATTGCTCACCGAAAAAAAAAAAAACAACAAAAAACAAAAAAACCAACCACTTCATTCCTCTAATCCTTATTGTTGGTTCTTTTGGATCTCTGTCAGCGACAACAGCTCAATCATTTTCATTTAAAATTTCTGTTTTCCATATTTTCTAAGGTGATGAGGAGAGGCAAAGGTATAGAACTTGGCTTTAACTGTATGGGTATTTTTCATCTTATGGCAGAATTCCAAGAATCTCTCTCTGGGAGAACAGATTGGCTGTAAGGGCTAGAAATAAAAAAAATCCAAACTGCTGTGTCTGTGAATGAAATCTACAATGGTCAGGCCTGCACCTGCCAAGCTGTGTATGATGTCCTCAAGTTGAATTTGATTACAAATGCATTAGCAGGGGAGAGCATGTCATCAGCTAAGAGCCTTCATTCCTGACCTGGGCCATGGAGGTTTACTCCACAATTCTTCTAGCCCAGCCCACATGGGTGTGATAGCCCAGAAACTATCTAATTGGAATCAGTGAAAGGGCAAAGCCTGGAATTTGGGAAAGGCAGAAAGAACACAGCTGTTCTGAATTACAGAACAGGTTGTCAACTTTTGCAGACGAAAAGCCCCGCCATATAGAACAGTCTTTGGTTCAGGAGGCCAAAAGAAAGGAGGGCCAACAAAGCAGTCTAGCCTGGGAGAACTTTCTCTGGGTCAAAAAGCATATCTAAAGTCTGAAAAGTCTTTGGCACCTCAATTATTCCACGTTTTATACTGATGTGACCAGCAGCCTTTATTCTCCTCTGTTGTTTAGAATATATTTTTATTTACATAGTTCACTCTGGTTGCCGTATTGGACACTGTACTGATAACAGGGATGCATTAATTACCCCTAATGTAGCAGCTTCATTTGGCTTCATGTTTCTCATCTTTTTTGGTCACTGTACCACTTGAAAGACACAAAGCCTGGAAGACTTAAAGGGAACCACTAGAAAGCTTTAAAAGTTAAGCAGATCCACACAAGGTGTTGAGAGATTGAGAACTCTATGTAACAGCCAAACTTCCACTCTCAACTTCGCAAAAGGAAATCTGAAGCTCAGAGAGAAAACTCCACACTTATCCCTGTTATGTCTCCCTGGAGTTCTGATGCCATTCCAAGTTTTGACAAATATTATGAGGAGTTCAGTTGCTGCAACTATGCTCTCCTGATTCTCTTACTCTCCAGAGAAACTTCCTTGGAAGAGCTCATGGACTGTTGAACCCACAGGGAGAAACCTATTGTCAGCTTTGTGATGTTTGAAAAGGGACTAGAGACATTTAGAAAACATTTTCCCACCTTACAAATTTTATTCTCTTGATCTTATTTCCTACTCAGTCTTTTTCAAAGTCCTACATTTGCTTTTCTTTCTCTTTAGTCTCAGAAATGGCCATGAATAATAATGTCAATAATACGTGTTTATTGAGAACCTACTATGTGCAAGGTGCTCTACTGTCTCATTTTCCCACTGTTTTTGTTATATAGAAACTATTATTTTTATTATTTACCATATGACCCATTTCAAACTGTAAAAGTAACTGGTAGAGAGTCTGAATAACTTCTCCAAAGAGTCACAGCAGGTAAGCGGTGGAATCAAGAGTCAAGCTAAAAGGATTTGACTTTCAATTTTGGTAATCAAAGTGCAATTTGTGGATCAGCGGCATTTGTATCACCTAGGAACTTGTTAGATATGCCGAATCTTAGGCTCTACTCCTATAACCACTGGATCCAAACCTACATATTAACTAAATCCAGGGCAGTTTGCCAGCACATTAAAGTTTAAGAGGCCCTGCTATGACCAAGCATGTACATTTAATTATTTTCCTGCACTAACATATTTCTCTACTTAAATTTATTTCTGCTATTTTTGCCTTATTCCTCATCAGTTCTTAAATTATTATTCTTTAGATCATTAAGAACCATGACAAAGCTCTTCTGAAGCAACAGCAGGTTTCTGAACAGTAAAAGCAAGTAGAACCAACAGATGAGATGGACAAATTGGAAGTAATTGTGGAGGGGTGGATACCAAACCAATTCTCCAGAGCTAGGGTTCAAAAGCAAGTCAACAGAGTATCTCTGCTTTGTCATGGCTTCCTGAGTTCTGAAAATTATATTCAGGGAAAAGAGAAAAACTCCTTCCCCAGGCTACCCAGAACATGTTACCATTTATAAATGAGAGAGATTATTTAGAAAACTTCAAGACCCAATTGAAGTCAGTTTTCCTGGGTTTAAAGACAGATTTTGAAACCATTCTTGCCTCTCAATGCCACAAGGCAAGCCACACGGTAAACTAAAGACTCATCACTGCTTGTTACATTTGCCATCTTTGTTGTGCGTGTCTTTAAATATTATCTCAGTTGAACAAGCTTTGTTTGTTCAGTAAAATATCCTTTATGAATATTTAGACAAGACAAGGCTCTTTATATAATTTCAAGTGTATAGAATTCATACTTTCTGCTTGGGTTTATGAAACATAAAATGATCAAAAATTCTTGAGAAAGAAAGAGTTTTAGAAAAGTATGATAATAAGAAAATAAAATTTCAATCAAGTTTGTGGCCCTGAAAAGGCTAACCCAGCCTTGTGCAGTGAGCCCTTTGCTTTTTTTTCTTTTTTATTCTCTTCAGAGACAGGGTTTCACTGTCTCCCTCTGTCACCCAGGCTGGAGGACAATGGTGCAATCAGAGCTCACTCCAAATCTTAGACTCAAAAGATCACCCTGCCTTAGCCTCTAGAGTATCTGGAAGTACAGGTGCATGCCACTATGCCAGACTAACGGCCTTTGCATTTATGTGTGTGTTATGCTTGGCATCCCAATGATTATAGCCAAGTATTACATGTGGCTAGAACATGAAAATGCTATTTTAGAGATGTATAAGCAGAAGTTGATCACTTGTTAAGACAAAGGATTTTTTCTTCATCATCATACAATAGCAAAAATTGACTAATTTCAAATTTTGAAAAAAAAATTATTCTTCCTCTGAATTCTGTTCCTTAAGCTACTTTAAAAAAAAAAATAACAGAGATATAAACTTCTACAAGCTGAGAATGGAAGTGAACCAATAAGCTTAAATGAAGCCTAAAGAGCATTACTATATTTTACCATAGAGTGTACTATTTAAACTTAAATTCAAAGAGAACGGTCACTTGAACTTGCTGTGCAAGTTGGAGGTAGGGATTGGGGATACTTCTGCAAATGTATTTGTCAGGAGACTGAGAACTGATATGCTAAAGTACAGACCTTAAGGATTTTGGAAGAGACACAGGTAAGCTCTGACAGGTTGAAATTAGTCTTGGAAAAAGTTTACAGAGTCATCATATCCTATTTTGCTTTCTTTTTTTGATGTTTATCAGTGAAGCAAATGAATTAAGGATGTGGTGGATTTCACAAGGCCAGTTTACCTGACTCAGTCCTGATCCTGACCTCTGTGGGAAGAACTCATCTCAAAAGAGGGTATTTAAAAAATGTTCTGCATTAGGGCATCAATCCCATTAGCTCTTCTCTGTGCTCCCATGACATTCACTTATTCTTTGAATACTCCTCAGAGATCAGCCTTCTACCATCTGGGACTTACTTACGTGGACAGGTGTAGGTTCACACATAACTATGTGACTGAATATGCACCATGTTGAGAAGCAACACAAAAGGATGTTTTACACATACTTTTTTTCTCGTATTTTTCTTTATACCAATACTGACTTCACATTACTTTAACAACCATTAAAGAAAGCATAACCATATTATCTATGATACTTTAGAATGCATTAAATAATGGTCCAGATGGATTTTGCAAATGGAAACACACACACTTACACAAACCCCCTATACATACACTCAACTTAGTCAACGTGTCTTTCTACCTATGGAAATAGGAAGGAAGTACAGGACAGAGAACAATGGGTACCTTTGGCATGGGGAACTGGCATGCTCCAGAGCAATAATAGGCATCAAAGGACTTGGGGGAGATAATCCATTCGCTCCAGCCAATATCTGCAAAGTCTACTTTAAGGTATCTCCTGGCACAATTCCGAGGTTCAATCCATTGCTTTCTCCTTGCCTTTTTAAGGGTCTGCTCATCAAACTGGAGTGTCTGGCTCTTCTGATGAGGTCCCTTTCTCTGTTTCTTTTTGTTCTTACTCTTTTCAGGAGCCTGAGTCTGAAGGGTCTTGTAAGGCTTTCTGTCCTCCCACACCTCGTCCATTTTATACTGGTATTCTGCCCCAGGAAGTTCATTGTTCTGCAGAGGCAGCAAGACCCCAGTAGAGCGCTTCTTCCTCCGTTCAATGGAAAGGGCAACTCTGATGTGGCTATCCCACTTGGGAACAGATCCAGTGGGAAAATCCCGATGTCCCTGTAAGCTTGATACCACACTTTCTGGCTCAGAAATGGCAGCATCATTGGCATATACCAAGATATAAGGCTCTGGAAAAGGTAACATCCTCTTTGGCAGCTGGTGTCCCTTGGAGGTAATGTTAAATCCTATGAGGAAATACTCATTTTCTTTGGCCTTCCTCAGGAGTTGAGTGATATCTTTAGACAGCCAGGACATGATATCTCGATGAGATTTGCCCATATCCACTGACAGATGGCCAAGGAGTTGACTTTGGTTTCTGTTGAATTCGAGGACCCATGCGGAAAGATCGATCTGAATATGTTTCCTCTGAGCATGATGGGAGCATCCTCCAGACACTGGACAACTCAGGCTGATGTTTTCTAGCTCTCCAATATAGAAATATAGTGTGGCAGACAAAATGTTTTCAGACTCGGTTAGCGACGTCAGATTGAAAATATGCAGTCCTTTGCTTTCAAGAGTTTCTAGGAAGGCAAAAAAAAGAGAGAGAGAGAGAGAGAGAGAGAGTAAACAGGACTAAACAAGACCCTTACCTTACTATATGACAATTAAATCAAAATGAATCAGAAACCTAAATATAAAAACTAAACCCATAAAATTTTTGAAAAGAAACCTAGGGGTTAATCTTCGTGACTTTGAATTTGGCAATGGCTTCTTATTTATGACACCAAAAGTGTAAGCAATAAAAGAAAAAGTAGATACATCAATAAAATAGGAAAATTTATAAAATAAACTGGGCTTCATTAAAATTAAAAACTTTTGTGTATCAAAGGACATTATCAAAAAGTGAAAATGCAACCTACATAATAAGAGAAAATATTTGCAAACCATACATTTGATAAATCTAGTATCCATAATGTATATATAACAGTTACAATTGAACAATAAACAGACCAATAAACCAAATAAAAATGGGAAAATTCCTTGAATAAACATTTCTTCAAAGAAGATATACAAATGGCCAAAAAACACATGAAAAGATGCTCAACATCACTGGTCATCAGGGAAACACAAAATCACAGTGAAGTACTACTTGACTATAACAAACAAATAAACAAAAAAACCCAGAAGGTTACTGAGAATGTGGAGAAATTGGAGCACTCTCAAATTGCTGGTGGGAATGTAAAATGGTTCACCTGCTATGAAATACTGTTTGGCAGTTCCTCAAAAAGTTAAACATAGAATTATTATAATTCTGCAATTGCTCTCCTATATATACACCCCAAACAATTGAAACAGGCATTCAAATAATTACACGGTTATAGTAGCACTAGTCACAATAGCCAGAAGTTAGAACAGATCAAATGACTACCAATGGATGAATGGATAAATGAATTGTGGTACAGCCATACTATCAAATATGATTCTGCCATGAAAAAAATGAAGTACTGACACATGCTATAATGTAGATGAACCTTGAAAAAATTATGCTAAATGAAAGCCAGACATGGAAGGTCACATATTGTTTGATTCCAACTATATAAAATATCCAGAATAGTAAAATCCATAGAGACAATCTCAGATTGTAGTTTGCTGGAAGCTAAAGGGAGGGGCTAATGAAAAGAAACTCCTTAATGGTTACAGAGTTTTACTTTAAAATTGTGGAAATATTTTGGAACTATATAGACTTTACGATAGCACAACATTGTGAGGGTATTAACTGTCATTATATTGTTTACTTAAAATTAGTTAATTTTATACTATGTGAATTTCACCTCAATTAAAACAAAGCAAAACAATATGCAATCTCTTGTTTTTGAGGGTTCCTGAAAGTGGAATAAAAAGAAAGTAATAAACAGGAATAATTTTTAAAGACAGAAAAAGATTAACAAGAATCAGCCATTTTAATTAATTTGCTTTTTCCTTTACTGAAGCACCATAAATGTGTGGAAATTGTAACACAGAAGAAACTTAAAGGGGTGAAAACTCAGAGTTACAGAAGACTACCAAGACTTACTCCTACAAATTTGGTAAAGTATTATAATAGCTTTTTGTATGAGGCACATATAACTTATGGGTTACAAACTCAGGGTTTCGAATTACACTCACCTTGATTGGAGTACTCGCTCAGCCACTTATTAACCACACATTACACAAGATAATGTTCTCATTCACAAAATGAGACAATATCTACCTCTCATGTTATCAGAATTAAATGAGAAATGTGTAAAGCAGTCCATAAAGTGTCTATGAAGTGTTTCTTAAATATAAATAACTATTGTTATTAGTCCTGGTATTAACAGTCTTACAGGGATTATGTCTTCTTCTACCTCCTTCAAAAAATGTAGGTGCAATGGCTCACACCTGTTATGCCAGCACGCTGGGAGCCTGACGCAGGTGGACCATTTGACGTCAGGAGTTTGAGACCAATCTGGCCAACATGGTGAAATCCTGTCTCTACTAAAAATACAGAAAATTATCCAGGCAGTAGTGGTGTATGCCTGTAATCTCAGCTGCTCAGGAGGCAGAGGCTGGAGAATTGCTTGAGTCTGGGAGGTGGAGGGTGGGATGGGCTGAGATCCTGCCACTGCACTCCAGCCTGGGTGACAGAGTGAGACCCCGTCTCAAAAATAGTAATAATAAGAATAATAATGTACTATGCATGGTAAGCATTGGGTGGGTAGGATCCAGTGCCTCTCAATATTCAAATAATACATCTGAAAAAATAAGGCATACTGCAAAAATGTCAAAAAAGAAAAAAGAATGCTGTTGTGGAGCTTGTTTGAAGTTTATGACATTCCATAAATTTAAGAGTTAAATTTCTATATAGCTTCACATAAATGATTAAAATTGTTCACTCATACTTCCAATTCTTCGAATCCAGAAATGAAAGAATAGAAGAGAACGAGAGATTAATTAATAAGGGCCAAGTCTGATTCCTTCCCTTAAGCTCATAAAATGAAATCCGCATGACTGAGGTTAGTACTCAGGAATCTCCAGCTCTGGGATCAGTCACCAGGGCCTAAGTCCTTCTCCATGCACTTGTTCCATATACATATTTGTTTCAGAAACACACACGCCATCGTGAAATTATGTTCTTGATCAAAAACATGTTTCAGTAAAAACAAAACATTTTTATAAAGATGTGGAAACTTAAAATGAATTCATTGAGTCCCCAAGCACAAGAGAAGTGCAATGGGAAACATATTTTATTCGTTTTTAACATTGTGTGAAGGAAAAGGAGGAAGCTGCCATTGGTGCACATTTGTATAATCCACGATACCAGTGTGATATTTTACAGACCTTTATAACAAAGCCATGGCATCAGGACTGTTCAGAGACTTGAGCCTTAATTCATACCAGTCACCAGAGCAGATAGAAGTTTAAAGTGGAAGGAAGAGAAGCCACTCTGTTCTAGTTATGTGGCAATCCAGTGGTTGCCAAACAAACATGGTGGCGCAGAATAAATGAACTCCGAGGGATATGGATAAACCAGTCCTGCCCCTTTCCCTACATTTTGCTTCAAAATATTTTCTTCTTTCAAACATGTTTCCTTCTAGTCACCTTGTGACCTGCTATTAATTAGTCTTTACGTCTGTGCCCAATCTACAACATCTTGTAAAAGTCTCAGAATCTGTCATACTGCCTCTTCCAATGGCTTTCATTTTAAATCAGTGCTTTATTTTGAAGTCAAAACCCATTGGACCAGTCACAGTTCCACTACACCCAATAGCTGCCCTCATGCAAATACCTAAGCTCTTTAAGTTTTGGTGTGCTCATCTATAAAGTGGGTCCAGTACTACCAACTACAGAGTTGTTGTGAGGATTAATTGAGGTAAAACACATAAAACACATAGAAAATATTCAGTAGATGTTAGCTAACTAGAACAGTGGAGTCCACTATGATAGTATGTAGCCACTTACGTTCAAATTGAGATGTGCTGTAAGTGTAAAATACACACTGAATTTTGAAGACTTAGTATAAAAATGAATATAAATATCATTTTATATTTGGCCAGCATGTGTTAAAAACTTTATTCAACTACATTGAATTAAATATATTATTAAAATTAGTCTCACTTATTGCTTTTCACACTTTTATATGTGGCTACTAAAATTTTTAAATTGCATATGTGGCTCACATTTGTGGCTCTCATTAAATCTCTATTGGATGGTCATGGTCTAGAATAATCACTAGTTTTGTAGTCAAAATGGAAAGAAAAAAAGATATATTTTCCCGAATGCATTAAAGAATTCAAATTCTGCTAAACATGAATATGCAAACCAAACAGTAAATTGGACAAAATATTAACTTCTTGAAATGTAATATTCTTTATTTATGAAGGACATATTAGATAAAGATCATTTTGGTGATTACCTTTTAATTTTTCCACAAACTGTAGCTAATCATTTCAATCTGTAATCAAAAGTCTGAGACCAACAAATTGCTGTTTCATAGAACATGGTATCTTAGCAACAGTGCCTTTTGGCATAAAAATTATTTATATACATAGCTTCAATTGCATTATTTGTGTATTACACACAGAAACACACCAAAACCAGCAGAGAACAGAGACCAAGGCAAAACAAATGTTTTAATTTACAAACATGAATTGAATATGTGCTGGATCCTGGGCTGGATCACAGGGCTGCACAAATGGATATTCCAGCTCACACTGTGGTTGGGGAAAGGATTAATGAGCATCATGCAGGTAGCTATGCCATGATGGTAATACAAGCTACAGAAGATGTTAACTATGCTTGGAACAGAATTTTGGGAGCCATTAACTTTCCTTAGGTAGAAGCAAAGAAACACACAGGTAAGAATTATGCTTTGATCAGACTTTTAAAGATGAAGGAAGAAGGAAATTTTGGTGAGGGAATGGAAAGAACACATTCTAGCAGTATGTAGTGCTGTATATCTGGAAGTTTTTGCAAAAGAAATGTTGCTGATGTTTTAAATAGAAAATAGAAAAATACTAATAATTAGCCTAGTTATTGAAGTTCTAGCAGTTCTACAGAACGAAGTTCTAGCAAATGTCTAAGCCATCCAAGCTGAACAAAGGCATGGCCAATTTGAAGCCTAACCAAAGGCATTATGTTATGCCCAACACTTGATGTGTTTGCTCTTGCTATTTCCACCTAGGCTAGGGATCTCTGCCTATTCTAGATCCTCTTCCTCCTTAGTTAAAAAAAAAAACAACACACACACACACACACAAAAATCCAGGAAACAAAACAATAGCCTAGAATTGTCAGCCATTTCATGAAGCATTCATTGACTTTGACTTTTCTAACAATACTTTATTTTTGTCTTCTCTGATCCTAAAACATTTTATTTTGTGTAAATTAATAATCTTCTCTCCAAAGCACCTCAACATATAGTTACAGAGCATTTACAATGGGCAAACAAATAGTAATAAGAGAGCAGCATGGGGTCAAGTGAATGAATATAGAGAAGTAAATAAGAATGAGGTAAACACCTTCCTGCAAATACCAGCACATAATAATATCTATTTGATTA